GCTCGTGGCCTTATTTGTTCTTAGAAGAGGTAAGTAATCTTGAGGTTCCCCACCTCCTCTTTTTTTTGGTACTGGGGATCGAACTCCAGCCCCTGCACTTTCAAGGCAGGCAGTGAAACCACTGAGCCAAATTCCTGGCTCCCACCACTCCTCTTTTTTTTAACCTTGCAACCGAACTTACTGGAGCACAGATTTCTGCTGTTCCTAAATCCTATCACTCCTATGCTATTTTTTCTGTCATTTACTTGGGTAGCTCTGACCTACATTTTTCTTTTCTTTGTTCCTAGAAAAAAGAAAAAAAGCTTATTTCTTTCTAGGGAAGCGCCAAAGAAGCAAGACTTATATGACCAATATGTTTCCTACCCCTCACATGTGACAAAGGGAACACCCCAAACTATCAAAACCCAATCCTGCACCAGTCGCAGAGCCAGATGCTTGGAGCTGCTCCTTATTGTGGGCCCCCTCAACAGAAAACAAAACAGACCCCCAAAACAAAGGCTTCCGGTCTCCAAGCTGAAACACAATCCCAACAAAAAATGTTTATCATTCTGGAGCTTTAAAATGCCCTCACCAAAACAACTTCTGTTTTAAGTTCTGAAAAAAAAAATGTTTTTGAAAGCACAAAGATAATAAATTAAGGCCAGGCAAATTCTAGTAGTCTTTCTCAGATGACTTTCAAATCTCAGTGACATTTCCCACCTCTTCCGGCTTGCTTTTTAGGTGGGACCCTGATTTTGAGTGGCTCCCAGCTGTAGTACGTTATTATTAGTGCTACAAATGAGTGATTATCATCACTTATTAGCACACGCCATTATCTTTTTCCTTGAAATATGTCATTTGAGCATTGAAAGCAATCGAGTATTTTGCGTCCTATGCTTTGCTTACTCTTGTCTCAGTCACCCTTTCATTATTCCAAAGAAGAGGTGTCTATTTTGTTGCTTTCATTCATTCCCCCATTGAGAGGAAGGGGGCCAATCAATCAAACAGCCATTTAATGCACAAGCTGGTTAGGAAAGAAGAAATAAATGCCGGCGTGGTCTTAGCAAAGACAGGCATGAATTTGGCCGATGCGATATATTGAGTTGCTCAAGGCTCTAGGTGTAGTTTCAGAGATTCTGGGGCAAAAGTGAAAGAAACCAATTTGGTGGTGGGAGGAACCTGGTTCCATTGAAGTAAAAGAGAAAGAAAAGTGCTTTTTTTGGAGCCCCCTTGATTTTGTACGGAGCAGGAAAATTATCTACTCTTTGCACCTCCCCCGCCGCCATATGCTTCCTTAAAATTTCCTTTTTCCATACTTGAAAGGACTAGAATTTAATAGCGCTCGTGTATTTGAAGTGCTAGGCTAGCCCAAGCTTCCTCTGTTTTCGCCTTTATCACAAGAAGTAACACCAAAGGAAAATCCACGTTCTATGATAAGGGAAACAAAACATGAATAATGATTATTTAAGGAAATAGATAAATAACAGGTAGTTTAACAAGAAAAGGGGCAGTTGAGCTTAAATAAGTTGAGATGCAGAATCAAAGAGTGATAAAGAGGTTGAATTACAGGCCAGTCTATGCCAGGGTTTTGGTTGGGGAAATGCAGCAGATTTCACCAGCAAAACACTAAATTGTAGACACTCCAGGGGCTGCATGCGGGGAAATGATTAAAGATCCAAATTCACTTTAAGTCAGACATCGTAGAAGTACAGATATCTTTACAGAAGGAAACGGGTGATCGATCACTGAATCTATTTATGCCGAGACATCACACCCTGCTGTACAGATGTCATTTTGTATGTCAACCAGAGACGCTGTCTTTCTTTTTGCAGGGAAAACAGTACATTGGCAGCACGAGGCAGAGAGCCCCTCAGAGGCGCTTGCCTGGGGACACTGAGGGGATTCTGGGAGTTTGAGCAAACCAGGCACATAGCCAACCCATAATTCCCACTGAGACAAAGCCTGCTTAGGAACTTCTACTTTCTACAAACCTCCTATCCAAAGTGCTTCTCCCTTTAGGCTTTTTCAGGAGCCAACGTAACAGGGAGGGAAGAACAGTACCCTGGTGCCCACCAGGGCACCAGGGAACCCAGTCATGACCCTGATCTTGCACTCCAGGAGGACCCATCCCCCTTTCCCCATTTCTGGAAGGAAGATGGGGTGGAACAGGCTGTGGGCTAAGAAGACCTTTATCACAATCTCACCATGGTCCGGTCTTGGAAATACCTTCCATATCCATTTCCTTACTCAACAAAAACAAGTTTTACACGGTTTGGTTTCTAAGTTAGAAAGAATGTGTACAAAGTAACCTACACACAGTCATCATCAAGTATAATGCATCTGGTGATTCCAACTGCAAAATCCAGAGTCCACAAGGTCCGCCTCCACCATTCGGTTTTGACTCCGAGATGCCCCTCTGCCCCAGAGCCTGTCGCACACCTTGGAACTAGCTGGCCTGGCCTCCGTTCTTCTCCACTTGGGCAGCTTCATGTCACCTAGCAGCCACAGCCAGTTCTATTGTGTCAGAGCACAGGGAGAAAGTGCCTGGTGCAGGTGAAGGACAGAGGCCTGCTCTGCGGGCCTCAGCCGTTCCCCTCCCCATTCCACGCCCTACAGCCCTCAAGGTTTGTGGGCCCACAGTACCCCCTGATGGCTGACATGGGGAACTTTCTTTCCCCAAAGATTCCTGTCTGTCAGTGAGAACCCCATCTTTCCTAGATCACTCACTGTGCTGTTCATTCATGAACCATTCAGCTCTCTGGAGCTTTCTGCAGACTTCTCTGCCTTGCTTTAAAAAAAAAATCCTGCTCAGTTCTTTCAGGAACATCCATTTCTCTCTCCCTTTCTTTCTCTCTCTTTGTTCCATATAAAAATAAATGCATCCTGAAATTGCTGAGATGGTGGTTGGAAGTATAATCATAAGATGTATCTATCTTCAAGGAAAAAAAAAATCCCATGTATTTACAAGTACGATGTAGCGTAGACTCAGCGGCACTGATCTCCAAAGCCTTGTGAGAACCCAGCTGTCTTCTCCAGGACCTGCACAAAAGAGGCCATCACTTCCCTCATCCTTCTCCAACTAACACTCATCTTTTCTCGACATTGCCATACTATTTATTTAATTTCCAAAACTGCATTAGTCTAAGCCTTACTGTTTTCCTGCAAAGATAATCCAGTTACAATAAGGGTTAAGGGAATCCCTGTGGGCCCCTCTGGAAGTGAACATGCAGGCTTTCAGCATTCATCCTCGATGGGAAAGTGAACTCAAAGCTCCAAACAACTGGTTTAGAACGAACCTTGGAAAACATTACCTAGTGAAATTGAACCCTGGGAAATTTTGATTGGGAGTGGTCAGTTTTTAAAAATTCATTTGGATGCCTGGATTCTCTGGTTTTTATCTACTGACCCATGGTGTCTCCTGGGATCCATGCTTACAAAAGTATTCAGGTGTCACCTATCTGGGTAGACAGTGATTCTTCCTTTATCAAAGGAAAAATATACTAACCAGATCCTGACTTGGTGCGTTATGTATGGAACATCCTAGGAGGTTACTAAGTTCATTTCCAAGACTACCTGTTGCTTTTTGGTAGAAACCCATTAAGCTTTTCTCATGAATGCTTCTTTTCCTGAATGTAAAATCAAGCAATACCAGTGATTTGTGTTTTTATGTGTCAATGTCTGAGTTCAAAATATTTTTTTAAATACAAGTGATGAGGCCAAGAATGATTGCAATGGCAGTCAGTAATTATTTCTTCAGATTTAGGAAGTTTTATTGTTAAACTAAGGGTCAGTAACTGGAAGGCAACTCAAGTCCTGATAAAACAATTGATGAAAAGCTTTTGGTTACAACAGAACATCGAAAAGCTTAATGTTCCCCACTGTTACATTTAAAAGTAAAAGAACATTACATGAAATAACTGAATCATTTTAATGAAAGGGCAAATAAGCTATTGTGACCATATATAGCTAAGCATGAAAAATGGAATTTTAAAATGATTTCATAAAAGACTTTCCTAATTTGGTCATAATGCAAGGTAATACATGGAAATTTTTATTTGAAGTAATTTCCATATTGAAAACTGAAATTATTTTCTCTTTCAACATACACATTAAAGGAACCAGTGTACAGCACCCAAGTGATTTCATCAGAATTGTTTTGAAAATGGACATCTGACATACATTCGAAACTCACACAAACAACAAAAACACACCAAAATCAAGAATGATGTCATAAAATAGTTGTGCAGTGCACTGGATAGTTTAAATGGTCAACAAAGATGTCACTTGAGTCAACACCATCACATTTTTCTGGAAAGAGGTATTTGCTTTCTGATAATACATATCATCTGAATTCGCTAAGTTTTGGTGGTACCGATTAAAACACTCAGTGTTAGCGTTTTCAAAAGCATTACTTTTAAATTATTTTCTCAGGACCCAAAGAAAAAACACCAGAGGAAACATAACCAGACTGAATTGTTTAAAATGTATTTTCCCTTTAATTAAATAAGAAACATCTGTCTAGGGATTTTGGAAATGAAAGTACTCCATCCACACTCTGCCTGTACTAGTTTGCATCTGACGTCCAATATTTTGAAAGAAAATTCTTTCTTTCTATAAAGAATTAAGCAGCAAACACAGAGTGAGGATCAGGTTTGATGCACTTTGGACAGCGGAAACGCTAAGGAACTCTTTTCACACATCTCTCGCAGGGAAGCAACCAGATCCTGTCCAAAGTCAAGGCTAGGAGATAGAACTTCTGTATTTTTCCAAAGTACGCCCTCACTCTCAACACGCTCACCTCTGGTCAGCGAGGAAGGAAGGTGCAAGGGTGCCCCTGACGCTCAGGGTGGAAATTCATCGCACCTTCCTTGGGGTTCACAAGATCTTCTAACTTGGGGTCGAGCCACCTGGACTTGTCACACGGGCAAAAGGAGCACAAAGGAAACGGGACGTTCGGCCCGCGACGGCACTGGTTCTTTCAAACTAGGGCTACAGTCCGCAAGACAAACATCGTCACTTACTGGTGGTGTCGAACGGTATCTGCTTGCAGGATGCAGACCCCTGGGCGGGCCAGGGACAGGCGTACACGGCTCCCCCTTCCAGGATGTCTGGCTGGCTGGTGTTGGCTTTGGGGGCCCCCACCAGGACACTGGTTCTGCGAAAGGGATGGCGAGAGTCACCTCTTGGGGATGGACAGGGGAGCAGGGGCGGGAGGGCAGAGCCGTGGCTGGGGCCGGG